GGGTGAGGGGACGGGGAGGGGATGGGATGGGGACGGGAATGGGGGTGGAATGGAGATCCGGATGGGGATGGAATGGAAATCGGGATGGGGACGGGAGTGGGGATGGGGATGGAGACGGGGATGGAGATCGGGATGGGAATGGGGATGGGGATGGGGACGGGGATAGGGATCGGGATGGGTTAAAGGGACGGGGATGGGAGGGGGATGGAGATTGGAACCGGAATGGGGATGGGAATGGGACGGGAGCCGTTTCCTGCCTGCCCTGACCCCGCTCCCTCCCACTTCCCCGGCCTGGGGAAGGCGTTCCGGGCTGGAGCGAGGGGATCCTCGGGGTCCCCTCCCGAGCCAGAGCGCGCTGTGGCCCTGCAGGTGCTGCGGCACGAGGAGTTCGAGGAGGGCTGCAAGGCCACCTGCAACGGGTGAGTGCCCCGAGCACCCCGTGCTGCTTTATTGGCAGTAAAATCAGGGTTGTGTTGTCTTTTATTGAATTGCTTCCCTTGGAACCTACAGCCCCCCACTCTGTGCAGGTGTGGGGCTTGTATTGAACGTAAATACCACATCTCTAGATTGGTATTAAGTGAATTATTTCTCAGCTTGCCAGGAATTACATCCAGTTCCACTGATTGTTTATGTAAGCGTGGCACTACCAAGGTTCTTGAGTTAAAAATCCCTCCTGGTAGCCCCAAAGGCTTTTGTAAAGAAAAGGGAAAGAAAGGAAGAAGAAAGAGGAATGCATTTCTTTCTGAAGAGAATGGAATCTTACATTTGGTGCCCTTTCCTACTTAGCAATAAGGAGGTGATTACATAATTGCAGCTAATGAGCAGCCTGTGCCCTTAAAGCACTGTTAATGAGGTAGAATTGCTTTTATCATATGGCCATGAATGACAGCCTGGGGTCAAATCTGCCATGATCTCACTCTAGAAATGCAGCTCCTCCTTGAAACACAAATACTTGCTGCTCTTGGTGGTTAACTTCAATACTAATGACATTAAAACATGGATAATGTGGATATTCCAGCCCTTATGATGGAAAATGGAGCAAGACCATGGTGGGCTATGGACCAGAGGACAATCACTTTGTGGTAGAGCTGACTTACAATTATGGCATTGGAGAATATCGCCTGGGCAACGACTTCCTGGTGAGTTCCACTCCAAGCAGCCACCCCTTCTCATGATAAGCTGATTGACCTGAATAATTAGAAGCTCATTTGTTGTATGGGTTGTGCCTGCTGCTTTTTTTTTTTTTTTTAATGCTCTTTGGTCCTAAACACTTCAGCGTTGCTTTTGTGGTTGTCTCCAAGATGGAAGAGCAGATTTGTGCTCACTTAAATGTCCAGGAAACACTTTTGGAGCTCTGCCTCTGCTCTTTGTGTAGGATAGCTGGTATTTGCTGCCAGATCCAGCATGGAATGCTGAGCTAGGAAGGACTTGCTGCAGGAAAACACTCTTATATTTATTATTTTAATCATTTTTTTTTGTGATTTAGTGGCTGGCAGCAGATGGAGATCTCTGTTTGCTGTGTGAAAACGGGTGATGTCTCTGCATCCACCCCATGGGCTGTGTTGTGTCCTCTCTAGGGCATCACTCTGGTGTCCAGCCAGGCTGTGAGCAATGCCAAGAAGATGGGGTGGCCCCTCAAAGAGGTCACCTCTGGTGTCTTTGAAGCTGAAGCCCCAGGAGGATACAAGTTCTACCTGGAAGACAAGGAACAGCTCAAGCAAGGTGAAATATTTACCCCTACTGGTGTTCAGCAGAGATTTACCAGTGGGGTATCAGAGTGTGTTTATTTTGATGGCATTTTGTAAAACAGAACACTTTTTAAATGATTTTTTTGATACTTCTGAAGAGTACTAGTGGCATTAACTGTGGGTTTAAACCTATAATATGTTTGTAGCTAATTTGAAATTATTGCAATCCTCAAGATCCCGTGTGGAAGGTAACCCTGGGTGTCTCAAACCTGCAGAAGTCTGTGAGCTACTGGTCTGGTTTGCTTGGGATGAAAATATATGAGAAGGATGAGGAGAAGCAAAGGGCTTTGCTGGGCTACGCTGACAACCAGGTCAGTCCTTGGAAAAATCACTAGAAAAACTTCTTGTTTACTGAGAACAGAATCTTAAAAGGAAAAAAGTTCTTAATTAGAGCATTGAGTGTTTTAGTTGAAGCTGTATACACTCAGCTGTGCTTTTACAAAAATCAAAGCTGTGGTTTGCTCTGGCTTGGTGGGAAAGGTGTGGATGGGGGATTTTGGAATCACCCACATCCTGGAGGAAAAGCTGCAGCCTGGAGAGCAGTGGAGCAGTGTCCCTGCAAGCCAGGCTGGGTTTTTTTCCCTGGAGCAGTGCAAGCTGGAGCTGAGGGCTGTTGGAGGAGCAGTGGATCACGGGACAGCGTTCGGCCGCATCGCCTTCTCCTGCGCCAAGGACGAGGTACCAGCCCCACTTCCCTCAGCCCCTCCCCATTTTTATTATCAACAAAACAATCCTGAGCAGATAGTTCATCTTCTTTGCAGTCAGGCAATTTCATTTTGTTTGCTGTTTCCAGCTGCCAAGCATTGAAGCCCTGATGAAAAAGGAGAATCAGAAGATTCTGACGCCCCTGGTCAGCTTGGACACGCCAGGCAAAGCCACGGTGCACGTGGTTATTCTGGCTGATCCTGTGAGTGACCCTGCAAACACTGACTGAGCTGGGCTGACACCTCTCCTTGCCCTGGGTTATAACCAGCTGCTTCCTTTCAGGATGGCCATGAAGTCTGTTTTGTGGGAGATGAAGCGTTCAGAGAGCTGTCCCAGGTGGATCCTAACGGTGACAAGCTGTTGGATGACGTAAGTGACTGCAAATTCATTTTCTTCCTGATTAGGAGTGACTGCAAATTCATTTTCTTCCTGATTAGGAGTGACTGCAAATTCATTTTCTTCCTGATTAGGAGTGACTGCAAATTCATTTTCTTCCTGATTAGAGATACCTGTAATTTGTAAGTGACTGCAAATTCATCTTCTTCCTGATTAGGAGTGACTGCAAATTCATTTTCTTCCTGATTAGAGATACCTGTAATTTTCTCATAAAAAAGAAATATATTAAAAATTATTTTTTAATATTTTTATTGTTTTTATTAATTTTATATATTATTTTTCTTCCTGATTAGAGATACCTGTAATTTTTCTCATAAAAATAAATATATTTGAAATTATTTTAATTTATTTTTGATTTTCATATTTTTCTTGTTTTTATTAATTTTATATATTATTTTTCTTCCTGATTAGAGATAACTGTAATTTTTCTCATAAAAATAAATATATTTTAAATTATTTTAATTTATTTTTTATTTTCATATTTTTCTTGTTTTTATTAATTTTATATTATTTTTCCTGCTGGTTAAAGATACCCGTAGAGATACCTGTAATTTTTCTCATTAAAAAAATTATATTTTAAATTATTTTTATTTATTCTTTTTATTTTTTCATAATTTTATTATTTTTATTATTTTTATATTATTTTTCTTCCTGATTAGAGATACCTGTAGAGATACCTGTAATTTTTCTCATAAAAAGAATTATATTTTAAATTATTTTTGTTTATACTTTTTATTATTTTCATAATTTTATTATTTTTATATTATTTTTCTTCCTGGGTAGAGATACGTGTCATTCTTCTAATAAAAATAATTATATTTTAAAATTATTTTCATTTATTATGTTTATTATTTTTCATACTTTTATTATATTTTATTATATATTTGTATTTATTTAAAAATTGAACCGATTTAATTATTATTTTATTATATATATCCATATATTATTATTTTTATAATTTAAAAATTTTATTTTTAAAATTTCATTTTTTACTCATAAAAAACTGAGTTTTTCCTAGAAACAAATCACCCAGGCTTGGTAAGGAAAATAAATCAGTTTTTAAAGCTCACTTGTTGCCCTGGGTGGAGTTGCCCAGCCTCACTCTTGGCATGGTCACATTGTTTGCTGTGGCAGAGAGCATTGCTCCTCAGTGTCAGTTCTCCTTACTAGTGGCTAAAATATAATATAATAAAATATAATGATAATATTTACCCCTCCAGAGAGCTTTCCTCCTGTTCTGAGCGCGTCCCCCTGTGTTTGTGCAGGCCATGGCTGCAGACAGCAGTGACAAGTGGTTTGCTGAGCACAACAGAAAGAAGATTTCAGCTTAGCTGGGAGAGGAGGAATGGACTGGGCTGCTCCTCCGTGCCTTGGAGCTCTTCCCAGAAAATGCCAATCCTGCTTCAAGTGCTGCCTTCCCAATCAGAAGGTGCTGGGATGTCCCGTGGTGGTTTATTTTTTGGGTTGATTTGAGCTGTTGTCTCTGGATTTCAGCTGCTCTCTGCCTTTTTCACATCTCCTCCTTCCAAAAGACAGCAGCAAAGGAGCAGCTTGGCTTCAAAAGCAGGGATCAGGAAAACCTCACATTTCTGTGGTGTTGTACTTGAAAGAAAGGTGAAGAGACACGTTATTTTCTGATTAATTAATTTCCTGATTAATTTGCTTTGGCTGTCCTTTATTTGAGGGCTGGAGAGGAGATTTTGAGGAAGCTGTGGCTGCTCTCCAGTGGGGTGTGGGGTGCATCCCTTTCTTGGGAACAAAGAAATGATCTTGCCAAACTGTGGATACTCCACTCCTTGTTTTCATTCCATGGTGTTTCCCAACTTTTTTTTTCCCCCATTTCCAAGGGGAAATACATTCACTGGAGAAGCCCCTGGGGTGTTTCTCACTGGGATCCTGCTGTTGGTGGGGTGGTTTCCAGCCCTTCTCCAGGAGATTTCCACATTCCAGGAGGGAGCTGAGGCTGTGCTTTGGGGTCTGCTGAGGTGCCAGGGGCAGCTTGAATTAAGTTTTGCAGTTAGTTTTTGGTCAGAAACTGCCTTTGGAAATAACAGATCAGGGTTGATTCCTTAGGAATGAAGTCACTCTGCTTTTGCTGGGAATGCAGGAGTCATTCCTGGCATTGTTTGTGCCAGGTACGCTGCTTGACTGCTCATTTTTGTGGTGAAAACCTTAAATAAAACACCTTAAATCAGGTTTTCATCATGGAACTGAAATGAGTTTCACAGGGACGATCAGGCAGTGTTGGCATTTCTGAGCAGGAACTGGAAAAATTCTAACAGGAAAAATTCCTCACTGCGATTTTGTCCGAGCTTTTCAATTCAGTGTTAATGACAGATTTGAATCCTCTTCGTCAAATTAAACACGTTGATACTGGAACATGGAATTAATGAATGAATTAATTCATTCAGCCCAATTCAATTCGTTTTAAGTTTTGAATTCTAGTCATCAAATTAAGCGTGTTGATATTGGAACACGGCAATTAATTAATTAAGCCAAATTAAGTTTGTTTTAATGACGGTTTTGAATCCTATTCGTCAAATTAAACACGTTGATACTGGAGCACAGAATTAATTAATTAAGCCAGATTCAATTCGTTTTAATGATGGTTATGAATCCTCTTCGTCAAATTAAACATGTCGATATTGGAACACGGCAATTAATGAATGAATGAATTAATTAAGCAAAATTCAATTCGTTTTAATAACGGTTTTGAATCCTGTTCGTCAAATTGAACGCGTCGATATTGGAGCACGGCAATTAATGAATGAATTAATTAAGCCCACCTCCGCGCCGCCAGGGGGCGCTGCGGGCGCGCGGGAGGGCGCCGCTCGCGGCGTGACGTCAGCGCACCGCCGTCGTGACGTCACCAGCGCGCGGCGCCGCCATGGAGCCGGCGGAGCGCGGGGCCGCCATGGCGCCGGGCTGTCCCGGGGACCCGTGGGCCGTGGGCGAGGAGACGGCGATCCTGCACGGCGGCTTCCTGCTGGCCGCCCGCCTGCTGCAGCCGCGGCCGCTGCGGGAGCTGCGCAAAGCCGACTGGCCCCGCGCGGGGGTGCCCATCACGGACGCGCTGCGCGAGATCGGCGAGCGCTGCCCCTCGCCGCGGGGCCTGTGGAAGAAGGAGGCCGTGGCCATCGTGTGGGCGAAAATCCTGCTGCCCGCCCCACCCGCCGCCGCGGCGCTGGAGTGCGGCTGGAAGGAGGACGGGTTCTTCTCGGTGGGCGCGATGATCCCCGATGTCAACCACACCGCGCTGTTCGAGCTGGTCAAGGCGCTGGGCGCGCCCCGGCTCTTGGTGCAGCTGCTGCTGGCGCTGCCCCCGGCTGTGTGCCGGGGACAGCTGGAGAGCTTGGTGGAGTACATCTCCAGCGAGACATCCCCGTCGGACGTCAGGTTCTTCTTGGACGTGTGGTGGGAGGTGCTGAAGCACAGGGAGGGACAGGAGGATGCCACGGTGTCGGCGTTCGGCGCTCTCATCCATCAGCACGGCGGGGAGTCCTCCCTGGAGGATGGGCTGCAGCCCCCTAAGAGGTTCAAGGGTGACCCTGGGAGCGCCTCAGCGGCCTCCGGGCTGCCCACGGTGCTGCTGCAGGGGTTAAAGCAGATCCGAGGCAGCATCGCCCAGCCCCGCCTGAGGTGCTACGCCCTGGCCAACCTGGCCGAGCTGCTGTGCCTGTCCTCGGAGCTGGGGCCAGGGGACAGCCCCCTGCCCATCACAGAGCACCTGGCCAAGGTCAGTGCCATGGTCAGCCTCTGGAGCAGTGATGCTGACTGCCAGTACCACCCCTGCGGGCTGGGAGAGAAGGTGAGGGAGGCAGAGAGGAGCATGAGCCTCCTGTGCCTGACCAGACCCTCTCGTGAGGAGCTCTTTGGTGGCTTGGACTTGCTCTGCAGCTTGTTGCAGGCCTGGGGAGAGGAGCTGCAGGACACTCTGAGGGGATCTGAGGAGCTGTGCTTCGAGAGCTACCGGCTGCTGGATGCTCTGGCCAGCCTTGGGAAGAACCTGGATTTCATCTCAGAGACCAGAGAGCTGGGGGAGGGCGAGACACAGGTGGTGTCAGAGCTGACACAGCTCACCAAGGACTTCCTCAGGGACACCAGTGCTGTCCTGGAGGATGTGGACACCAGCCTGGTGTCTTCAGTTGCCATGGCAATCATTGCACAAAGGCTGGACCGCCATGTGGACACGTGCTCTGTTTTTGCATCTGAAAAGACGTGGGCTTTTTCAAAGGCCTGGGTCGAGTGCCTGGTGGAAAACAAAGCTCTGTTCCAGACCCCTGAGCTAGTTTTGAAACTGCTGGAGACGCTGGTGAACTTTGCCACATCCCACCATGACAAGGAGGCCCAAGAGCTGCAGATGCAAGTGACCAAAGCCATCGTGGAGTGTTACACTGGGCTTTCATTGAGTGACAAAAACAAAGTGATCTCAGGTGTCCTGGCGTCCTGGGGTGGCCCAGGTCTGTCCCAGAACGTGCAGGTTGTTAGGGAGGGGTTCCAGGAGGACCTGAATGTGACTTTGAACCAGATCACAGAGAGTGTGTCTGATGAAGGCCTGGCCAGGGCTGTGGATTCCATGGCCAGGCTGATGCTGCTGTCCCCTGAGGCCACAGTGAAGCAGGTTTGTCATCTTGCTGTGGTCAACCTTGGAGCACACCAGTTCCTTGCCCAAATCCTCTGCTCCTTCCCAGCACTGAGCTTCCTGGAGAGCCATGAGGATCCAGGAAGGCCACGCAGCCTGGTGGTGAGGTGTCTGGAGGAGGCAGTGTGGGGGAAGCTTTCCACAGCAAGGGAAGAGGAGCAATTCCTTCAGTTCCTGGCCTTTCTCCTGCAGCCAGGCTCAGCCACCCCCCTCGTGTCACCTGCAGAAGTGACCAAAGCCTTTGTCCTTCCCTGTTTGAAGTCAGACTCTGCTCAGATTGAGCTGAGCCTGCAGATCCTCAGTAAGGTTTTGGGAATACCGTCCTGCTCAGAAGAGCATTGGATCAAATCCTGCCACCCCTTCCCACTTCTCCTCAGCCTCTGCAAACTTCTGGATGGTTACACCAAGTACTGGCATCAGCCTAGGGAGCAGCTCTTCCCTTCCCTGGAGACTAAAGACCTGATTCAGAACATCCTCTGCCAGCTGTGTGAGCTGGTGGGACCAGAGACCGTCCCCTCCTCGGAGCTGTGGGTGCAGTCGCTGGCCTGGCTCCACAGGAAGGTGACATCACTGGACTGGACCGTGGGGCTCCGTCTGAAGAAGCTTTATGGGGACCACTTCAAGAACGAGGTCCCAGCGACGCTGTTTGAGATCTGCAGGCTCCCTGAGGACGAGTGGACATCCCAGGCCTGGCCAGCCTACGGGGCAGGCAGCGGGCTGCTGGCGTGGATGGAGTGCTGCTGCGTGTCCCCAGCGCTCAGGGACACCATGCTGGCGCTGCTCACCGTCAACGTGGACAACCCAGAAGAGGTGAATCTCTTCAGCAAAGGCTTCCTGGTGGCTCTCATCCAGGTGCTGCCTTGGTGCAGCCACGGTGAGTGGAAGAGGCTGGTGCCCGTGGTGGAGCAGCTGCTGCAGAGGCAGGTGCTGCACGTGCCCTACACGCTGGAGTACGTGCAGCACATGCCCCTGCTCAACCTCCGCCCCTTCGCCTGCCACCTGCAGCTCTCCGTGCTCCTCCTGCGGGGCTTCCAGCTCCTCTGCAGCTCCAGCTGCTCCAGCTGGCTGCCACCAGAGGCCTGGCTGCACGTGGTGCAGCTGTACTGCGCCAGCCTCACCGACCTGCTGGCCTCCCTCAAGGCCACGGCGGGAGCCGCGGCTCAGCCCTGCGCGCAGGAGCTGTCCTTCACCTGCATCCAGCTCTTCTGCCACCTGCTGCACGTGGCTGCCATGCTGCCGGCCACGGGCTGCGAGGAGCCACTGCTGGTGGCGGCCCTGGAGGTGCTGTCACAGTACGAGGTGTGCAGCAAGGCTGACGGGTCGCCCTGCGCCGCGCTGCGCAGAGCCAACGAGGGACACTTCCTGCAGTCTGTGACGGACAGCCTGGGGCACGAGGAGCTGCGCAGCACCCTCCTGCAGAAGCTCAGCAAGCTGGGAGCACGCTCAGAGCACTGATCTGGACCTTGTAAGATGTGTAATAAACCCTTAGTTTTCTATTTTGAGTTTATTTCCCCTGCTGTGTTCTCCCGCTAAGCAGTGGAAGTGGCCGTATGATGATGGGTGGGAGGAGCCACTTTGGTTTTCCTCTGGAATAACTGGGCACAGCTGTTCCTGAGCCAAGCTGCCAGTTCTGTGGCTGCAGCCTTGCCTGCTGGCTCTCTGCGTTTACACAGCAGCCTCCAGCATCGAGGAAATCGCTTCCCTCTGGCTGCTTTGCCACCAGCCCTCTCCTAGTCCCCAGAGAATTGCTGGTTTTGCCACGTGCTGCCTGAGGCTGGAAAGCAAGTTGGAGGCTGGGAATCGAGTTGGGTGAGTTCAGGACAGGCAGGAACCTTTGGAAATCCATGTGTGCTGCTTCTGCCCGGAGGTGGGGGTGCAGCAGTAACCCCACATGTAACGCCCCCACCCAGCAATGAACAGCACGTGGAAGAGCCAGCCAGTGGTGTGACTCAGAGAGGAAATCTTTATTGGTCTCCTGACAGTAAATAGGGCAGTGTTAGTGCAAACTGAGGTGCCTCATTGGCTGGGTTTTTTTTTGTCCTTACATAAGGCACGTTATTCGCAATGAAAACAGTGAGATACAACATCTGTAAGGAGTTGCAGGAGTTTGTAACATCAGCTGGTCTCGGTGGTTACTGTGACTGTGGAGTCTCTGTAACAACAACCACAGGTCGGAAGAGGCCCTTCTAGTTTTTTTTACACTCTATCCAGAACAGCAGCTGTGGTTGGGACGAGATCCAACACCCAAAAGATCCAGGTTTTGCAGAGCTTGGCTGCTGGTTTCAGACAGAATGAAAGGCACAGAGTGGTCACAGGTCTCTGGGCGTGGGGGCTGTGCCAGGGCTGTGCCAGTGCACTTCCCTGCCTGGAGCAGGCACAGGAGGCTGCAGGAGGAGGTGGCTGTCCTGGCTGGTGCTGGTGCAGGGGATGAACTCAGCTGTGGTCTGATTGCACACATCCTGTGGTGCAGGGTGGGCTGGGGAGCCTGTACCCATTTTGCTGTGACTAAAAGTGGAAATGGGCTGAGCTGGTCAAGATTCAGCTCTGCATCCTGCTCTGGGGTTGCTGGTTCCTTCTGTGCAGCCCCAGTTCTGTCCCTGGCAGCCTCTTGGGGGTGGGATGGACTGTACAGGTGTTTCCAGGGTGTGGTGGTGCCAGCTGGACAGCAGGGCAGGGCATGCCAGATGGTTTTAAATACCTGCTGAGGGGATGCAGACCAGATAAAAGCAGCTGTGGTTAGGGGAGGGGAAATTGCACCCCTGGCCAAGGAAGGGCTGGGCATAGTCCCCTGTGTGTTGGTGGTGAGACAAGCACTTGGCAGGCTCCTGTCCCCATCCTGCCCTGAGACAGCAGAACCATTCCCATCCTGGCATGAGCTTCTGCCCTCCAGCCCTGCTGGGAGCACAGGAGTCCCCCCAGGACTGTCAGAAGTTTGTAGTGAAAAGCACCATCGGGTGGAGTGGAGCTTAGCCCAGCAGCAGCAGCAGCAGCAGGTGAGGTGCACTTGGGAGGACAGGGGCCGAGCAGGGCTGTAGTGTAGAGCTGAAGTCGGTAAAGGTCAGGAACGGCTCTGCAGAGCTGTGCTGCAGCTCCAGGCCTGCCTGGGGCCGCGGCAGGTCCGGCACAGGCTCCCCATGGCCCGCTCCAGCATCGCAGGCTCATCCGCGCCGGTGTCCGGTGTCAGCGCCGGGGGGGGGGCTGGAACAAACCCCTCTCGTGTAACCTCAGTTCGGCCGTGCCGCAGAGCTGCATCCCGGCAGGAATGTCGTGCTTCCAGGCCGGCTTCCAGGAGAACACAAGCAAAGCCTTCCTAGCCCGGCTGGTGCTGCCTGGCCCGGCGGTGCTTCCAGCGGAGCCGCCGCTCGCCGAGGGAAGGGCCGGGGGCTGCCCTGTGCCAGCCCCTGCCCTTATCAGCTCGGTTATCTGCTCCGGTGGGCGGGAGAGCCGCCGTAGAGCCGGGCAGCCTTGCGGCAGATGAGCCTGAACCAGTAGAGCTGGGGGGCGATGAGGGAGGCGTTGGCGATGTTGCAGTGCAGGGGGATGCGGAACGGCACCAGGTACACCGGGATCCCCACCTGGCGGGCGTAGGCCGCGTACATGAAGGGGAAGAGGAGGATGCGGCACAGGAAGAAGGTCACCAGGATGAGGATCCCGTTCACCTTGTGCAGGAGCGTGTCCTGCATTTTGAGCTGGAGGAGGAAGGAGGTGAATGTGGGGTGAGCAGCATCCCAGAGCTCCGGGGCTCTGGAGGTGCTGGTGAGCATCCAGGAGGGCTGGAGGAAGGGGAGTAGGAAGGTGGGATGGGGAGGGATGGAGGAGGGCAGGGGTGGGAATGAACATGGTGTAGGAGAGGGTAGCACCAGCCCACAGCACAGCCCCCAGTTCTGGGATGCTACTGGGCTTACTGGTGGGAGAAAGGGATGGGACCCTGGGAGGAAGGCAGCACTGCAGGGCAGATTTGTGCTAAAGCTGTGGGGCTGCTCCTCTCTGAGACACCTCCCAGCTCAGGCACTGCCTGGAGAGGGGCTGATGGAGCCTGGGGCAGGAAAAGTGACAAATTGCTGTGGCCTTCCCAGCCCTGAGCCCCATCCCTCCTGACCTACCTGCATGAGGATTTTGCCCAGTGAAACAAAAGGCGTGCTCAGCTCTGCTGTGAAGATGCAGCCCACAAAGAAGTCCCCCAGCTCTCCCCTGAAGTGCTGTAAAGAAAAGCAGCACTGAGCACGGGGCTCTGCAGAAAAGTGACCAGGAACCAACACCCAGCATGTCCAGGGGGTCCTGGACTCCTGCAGCAGCCCTTACCTGGGTGATGGGGGTGAGCACGATGAGGATGAAGAGGTGGTGGGTCACCATCAGCCGCTCCTGCAGCAGGAAGCTCCACACGCTGGCCAGCGAGTGCTTCTTCTCCAGGATCCCTTTCTCCTGGCTCTTGTGCCAGTGGCACAGGTACATGACATAGATGTCATAGGTCATGTAGGGAACCAGCACCCAGACGTATTCCACGGCCAGCCAGTGCCTGGGGAGGACAGCACACACAGAGGCATCACAGCAGCTCTGGGAGGTGGAAGAGTCTTTAGGACTGAAATGGCAGCATTTCAATGGATTTTGAAGCTGAAAGAGGGTGAATTTTAACTCTGTTGGCTCAGCAAGTACAGGCTGACCCAGAGAAAAGGTGCCTGGTACGTGTGGAGGACGGATCTCAGTGCTGACCCCGCTGCTGCTGGGCTGTGCCAGGCACTGAGCTCAGCCTGGCCAAGCACAAACACAGCACTAAGGAAGGACCCTGATTAGCCCCACAGCCAGGTGTTTGCTGCACAGATTCACAGCATTTTTTGGGATCCAGCACCAAGCCAACACCTTTGCACAGGTGATCTCCTCCCTAAGCCCTTGGACCCCCAGAGCTGGTGCTTGGTGGTGGAAACTCCTAATCCTGGGTCTCTCCTGCCTGTCACACTGCACCAGCTGGCTGCCTAACCCAGGGAATGTTTGGGAAACACGTGGAGAGCTCAGAGTTAACCAGGGATGGCTGGCCTGGAGTTTGGAGAGTGAAGCACAAAATATCCAATATAGGCAATAAACCCCCATGAGGCGTTTGTCAGTTGGGAAATAATTGCAGGCAGCTGCCTGTTCCCAAAGCATGTTGGAATCCTGGTTGCACAATCTGGGCAGCAGCAAGCCCTGCTCTGCAGGGACGCCAGCCTCCTTAAAAAGTCCTGCCTGAAATCACACTGATTAAAAAAAATAAATAAATAGACAAAACCACCCTTTGCTGTTGCTTGGAGAAATGTAGCTTGGGGCTCAAACCTCTTTTTGCTCTCTTGCCATCCCAAGAAAAAAAAATTGTTGCGGCAGTTCTGCTCCAGATGGAAAGATGTAAGTGGTGTGAAGCACGGGTGGCAAGTGATTGTGTTTGCAAAACTTGCCCAGGGCTTTGGAGGGCAATTACAGCACCAGCAATATAACGATTGTCTGCCTCTGTAAATAAACTGGCAAATTTTACTGCAACCTTTGTGGTGCTTCCTGGCTTGCTGGCTTGCTGTCATTCTCCAAGGCCTTCCCTGCTGAGCACTGGGCTCAATTTCCTCCAGATTCAAAGAAAATCTAAATCTCTGCCCACAAAGTGTTTGCACAGAGCCCTTGGCCTCGAGTACACCCAGGCAAGCAGACAGCTCTGGGGGAAGGAGGGCTGCTGGCAGCACCTTCTGTCTGTGTGGCTTTGGGATCCATCATCTGCCTTATCTATACAGCAGAAATTTTATTTCAGAGCAAAAAGATAACTCATAGATTGCCTGGGTTAAGCAGGTCTGGGGAATCTGGGTAGATATCATTACCTAGAGCAAGGCAAGATAATTCATATCTGTGTGTTAAAGACAGGTGTGCTATGGCCAGGGTGGCAGCCCTTCCTAAAAATCACCCTAAAATCGGTGTGTGACGGTTGAATTCCAGCTCAGCATAATTATATTCTTCCCTCCTGCAATCTTCTCTGCTAGTCTGGATAATAGCTCTGTTTTTAAGTCTTCTGACCCAGATTACACTATCACTCCTCCTGAAAGCCACTTCTGGGCAGTTTATCTCAGAGCACAGAGGACAGCAGGATTTTCCTTCAGGGCAAACTCTATTCTGACTTTGCCATTTCTGGACTCTTTCAGAAAATCCTTTTGGCATGCCTTGATGCACCTCAAAAATCAGTTCTCACTGGGTCTGCTTGACTCTGGAGCGATTTCAGTTTCCAGCAAGGAGACTCCCTTCCCCTTCAGAGCTGATGATATCTGTATTTTTCTCTCACATACAGCCCATGTTCCAGCCCATCCTTTGAGGACGCTGTGCTGGCAGAGCACCCCCAGGCCTGAGCGAGCTGCTGCTGTTCAGGGGCTGTACAGCCAGCACATTGCCCAACCCTCCCAGCCCAAATGGGGGAAAGAGGAACACGAAACTCATTTTCCTCTCCCCTTTGTACGTGCAAGCCTTTGGCAGAGCACCCTGCAGCCCCGAGCTGGCTGAGCACATCCTTGGCACGCTGCCCGGGGGGCAGTGGCACGGCCTGGGCTCTGCCTTACCTGTCATGCACCACGTTCTTGCAGCTGAGCACCACCGTGAGCCCCGACACCGTTGCCATCGTGGCTTGGACTGTTGACACCAGCCTGAAGTGGACAGAGAGGAAAGGGGTGACCCCAAAAGTGACCCCCCCAGGGGCCGAGGCACAGGGCTGCCACAGGAGAGCTGGTGGCACTCAGATGCCCACTCCGTGCACGCCCCAGCGCCTCGTCACGGCCAGGACGTGTCGGGGTGGCTGTGCCAGGCGCTGCCTCCCGGGGGAATCGTGCCAGGTCCCGTCCCTTCCACCCCCGTGGGTCCGTGGAAACGCTGCCGGTTCCCCGTGGGCAGAGGGAGGGAGAGCTGCAGTGGAGCATCCCCGCCCCGACAACGGTACCGGGCTGCGGGTCCGGCCGGGCAGGGCCGGGCGGAGATGCCCGTGCTCGGGGGGATGCCCGTGCTCGGGGGGGGATGCTCTCACTTGGGGGGGATGCCCCTACTCGGGGGGGATGCCCGTTCTCTGACGGGATGCCCGCATTCGGGGGGGATGCCCTGTTCGGGGGGGATGCCCGTTCTCTGGCGGGATGCCCGCATTCGGGGGGATGCCCACGCTCCGAGCGCTGCTCCTGCCGCCGGTCCTTGCTCCCCCGCGGGATCTGGGCCAGCCAAGGACCGTCCCCAGGAGCGTCACGGCATCGCCGAGTCCAGGCTCACGGCTGGCGGGACTCGGTGCTCTTGGCCGGTTCGGATCGCTGCCGCTCCCGGTCCCTGTGCCCATCCCGGTCCCGGCGGGTCCCGCCGCAGTTCGCGTCCCCTCTCGCCGCTGCCGCCCGTACCTGCCGCTGAGGAGGATGCGGTCCTTGAGGCTCAATCCCGGGGCGGCCCAGCGCAGCAACCGGATGCAGAGGATGAAGAGCCCCGGGAAGAAGGCGGAGGCGAGGGCCAGCGTCCGCCACATGGGGACGAGCGCGCTGTCTCCCGCCGCCGCTTGTCAACAGCCGGCCGGGCGGCGGGAGAGCCCGGCTCGGCTCAGCTCGGTCCGGCTCTGCTGGGCTCGGCTCGGCTCGGTCCGGACCAGCCCCGCCGCTCCCGCCGCCGCCGGGACGCGCCCCGCTCCGCCGGGCGGAGGCTCCGCCCCCGTCCGGTTAAACCCCGCCCACTCGGCGGAACCACGCCCACCCAGACACCTCCCCGGTGCCTCAAGCCCCGCCCGTCCGCGGCCCCGCCCCGCGCGCTGCCGGCGGAAGCGGCGCCGCCATGGAGGAGGACGAGCCGGAGCTGGAGGCCGGGCTGGAGGCGGCGCTGGAGCTGGCGCCCGCCGTGCAGGCCGCCATCGAGCAGGTGCGCCGGGCGGGTCCCCCCGCGCGGGGGACAGGTGCGGGCGCGGCCCGGGGCCGCTCGGTGAGGGCCCGCGGCCGGCTCCGAGCCCCTCCCCGCCGGCTCCGGGCCTTCCGCTGCTGGGCCCGGGGAGCGCTGTCAGCCCCGGGTGGGCTCGGACCGGCCGGGCCCGCTCTGGGGGCTGAGCGTGGCTCGTGGTGTCCCCGTCGCTAATTGCAGACGTGTTCCCGTGTGTGCAAAGCGCCCAGTGCCTGTGGCTCGGCTGGAATGGGGATAATGGAAACGTCCTGGTTTGGCTTGTGGTGAAACACGTCGGGTTTTCATCCAGAGGGTGCGGGCACTGCCCGGGCTCCCCAGGGAATGGGCACGGCCCCGAGGATGCCAGAGCTCCAGGAGGATTTGGGCAGCGCTGCGGGGATGCCCAGGGTGGGATTTTTGGGGGGTCTGTGCAGGAACAGGGGCTGGGCTGGGTGATCCTTGTGGGTGCCCCACACCTCAGGATATTCTGTGATTCCGTGTTCCCTGAAACCCTTTGTGGCACCTGGAGCCCATCGCATGAGAACCCAGGGTCAAACCATGGCTCTTGTCCTCTGTGGCTGAGCCTGCCCTGCCTGCAGCAATCTTTCCATCCCCAGGGCTCTTCCCAGGAGCAGAAGTCTGGGCAGCAGCAGTGTCTGTCTCATAAAGCAGCACTCAAATTTAAGTTTTTGCACTTTCTTGAGTGTTGAGGCTTGTGGGTTGCTTTTGGTGGCCCTCCTGGAAGAGCAAGGGGAGACCTTGAGAACTGACAAATTAAATGGCAGCTTCTAAAGGAGATCTAGAGCCTGTCCAGAGAAAGAATCCTCTGCACTTGTAGACATGAATTTTTGAGCAGTGGAGAGCCCACCGCATGCCTGGCCGAATTATTTTAACAATCATTAAAGCTGTAGGAAAACATTCACCTCCTAAGCACTGGGAGATGCTGGGGATGACACCACCTGCTGCTTTCCAGCTTCCTCTCTGGCACTTCTCAGCCCAATAATCCTGTTGTTCCTGTCAGTGTTCCTTAACCAGTTTTGGGGTGAAAGCTGCCCAGTTCTGGTTAAATGAGCAGAGCTGGCTCAGCTGCCGTGCTGGAAGCAGGGTGGGGAGCACAGGCAGGGCTGGTGCCCCACCAAAGCAGGCTAGCATTTCTGATTAATAGGTTGTGACAGAGCCCTGGGAGTGACAGCTCCTGCAGCTGCTCCAGCTGCCTGCAGCACTGATCCCTATCTGTAGTTTGAGAGGAGCTCCTGAGCAGCCTTTATCTCCCATCTCACCTCTTGTTTCATCTGCTCTTAATACTTGTGGAGATTTGGGGTTTGTGGGGATTAATTGAGTGTGAGTTGTGAGCAGGATGGGCTGGGCGTGATGCTGCAGTTGTGCTCTCACCGTGGGGTGATGTCAGAGCATTTTCTTCTCTCACCACAGCCTCGTGCATGTTGAACTGCTGGCTGCTTCTCCTCGGCCGCGGGAGTGACTGGGAAAGCTTCCCAGGAGGGCTGGTTCAGGCAGAATTTGCTTTTATCTCACAAAACCATTGATTTTACAGTGCAAAATGTGTAAAAGTACAAATGCTTCATGTGCCCAGGTGTGAAGGCTTTCAGTGAGCAGGGGGATGCTGTGGGGTCAGCTCTGCTTTTGTCAGAGGTGTGTTTGCCATGGGGTGCAGAGCTGATGGCTCTGTAAATATGGGACAAATACCAGAATCATGGAATACTTTGGGTTGGAAGGGACCATTTCATTCCTTCCACCATCCCAGGCTGATCCAAACCTCATCCAGACTGACCTTGAACCTTTCCAGTGATGGGCCATCCACAGCTTCAGTGTGCTGGCGGAGAAGGGAAAGCACCACACTTCAGTCTGTGGGGACAAAAAGCAAATCCTGGCAGTTGTGTTTGTGTTGTTTGAACTGCTGAGGAGAGATGAGATCTGTTTGCACCACAGCTGCTCTCTCCCCCTTCCCAAATCATTCAGCAGATTGTGTTTCTCTTCTGTGAAAAGTGGCAAACCCAGGTCTCCAGAGAACTTGTACAGCCACTCCTCAACTCATCACATTTCCTATGGCAGGGCTGTGGAAAGCAAAGCCTCTTGTCTGTCACCATGAGGCCTGGCAAAGCTCCTGCCAAGAGCAGGGCAGAGCCTCAGTTTGTTCCCAGACAGCAGCAAAAGCATCAGCATGGCTTGGGATACAGAGCTCACGTGTCTTGGGAATTCCTGGATGGATGGATTGTGCCAGGGCTGTGTGGGGAATCCTGTGTGTGAATTATCTGTGTTTATCCAGGCTGATATCCACAGGAATTTTGGGAGGTCAGAGCCCTGCAGAGCATGTAGCTGCTCTACTCCTGGCCACTTATTAGAGAAATGCTGTGAAACGCAACTGGAAGTGGGTGCTGAGGGAATTAAAAATCATAGAAACTGTGTAAAGTTACAGAAATCACTGATGATGGTTGATTGTGTTTGTTTTCCTCCCTCTTTCCAGGTATTTCCCAGCCAAGATCCACTGGACAGAGCAGATTTCAATGCTGTGGAGTATATTAATGCTCTCTTTCCCACTGAGCAAGTAAGTAATGCTCCAAATACTCTGACTTCACTTCCACACTTTTTACTATCAGATTTTACTTTTACCCTTTGCTGTCAGGGTAACCTGATAGCAAATGACCAAAGCAGTGTTTAAACCTGTACCCAAACCTTTTATTTTAAACACTAGCACAGGAAATAAAGCTTTAACAATAATAATTTCTTAAATTTGCAGCTCACTGGGTTTGCTGTCATTATGTGGTCCCTTTCCACCCAGAGTGCTTGCTGCAGTTAAAGTCCTGCTTTGATTTGTAGAAATAAATTAATTTTCTGTGTGAATGGAGTAAATGTCATAACTTGCCATATATCAATCATTGATGAGTCCCTGGGGATTTCAGCCAAATCAGGCAGGTCTTGCCTGTACAACATCACTGGAGAATTTGAACCCAGCTGTTTCTTTTGGGATTTAAAGAATGAGATTGCTGTGGGCCCACATCCCTGCATTGTGTTCCCAACTTCAGCCCCAGGGGAAGTTTTGGATTAACCTCTTACCAAACAGAGATGTTTCTACAGATGAATTTGTGTCTTGAGGCTGCTCCACCATGTGCCATGTCTGAGATTCTCTGCAGCACCATGGTTTTGCCTTGCAGCTTTCTCTGGTGCTGTGGCTTGGCTTTTTTCCCTTCGCCAGCAGTGAGGAGCTGTTTCCCCAGCAGTGCCTTCCCTGCATCTCCTTCCAGCCTATTTTCTGCAGGTCTGGGCTCTGCAGGGGGGTCTCAGCCCAAAGGCTCTGTCCCCATGCCCGGTGCCCACTGGAGGTCACTGTCACACCGTTCTGCTGGCAAAGGACAGGGCAGAGCTCAGCGATGGGGGAAGCCTGACCTGTCTTTTTCTGCTCTTTGTGATGTGACAGAGAAGCAGCTGAGTTGTTGTCTCAGTTTTTCCACCTGTAAAACAAAACCATCGCTCTCCTCTTCCCCAAGACCCCTGTGTGATGAAGTGTTTGTGATCACGTATTCCTCTGTAAAACATTCACCATTTCACTTCTCTCTGGTTTATTTATTTTTTTTTCCTATTCCAGTCTTTGGCAAACATTGATGAAGTTGTGAACAAGATCAGACTGAAAATAAGGTAAATATTTCTGCATTTCATTGCATGTCAGGTCTGATTGTCACCAAGGCTTGATAAATGCACCCTTTGTGCTTCAGCTGACAGGATTTGGTTTGTTTAAAAGGCATGGATAGGACCAGCCTCAAATCTAATTATAATCTAAATATAATCTATAATATATTATAATCTAAACAATTCTAATTTTTATATTTCACTTCTATTATGTGCCCTTCAGGCTGTTTAAGCTAATGGGTTGCAAAGTGAAGCTTTGAAAAACAACTAAGAACCAAAAAATACCAAATTTTAGTACAGTTTGAAGGCTGAGTGAGCAAACTACCCAAAAGACTCAATTGCCAAGAATTCATTGGTTTTGGGGTCAGAATATATTGTAAAAACTCTCACTCTTTATTTTTAAATTGTCATTATTGGTCCTAAAAGTACAAAATAAACACAAGTGTGCATGAAATACTTAAATTTTCTGTGCTGCCTGATATTGCCAACGTGAAATGATTGAGACAGCACTTTCATATGTGGGAAGTTGAAATGCAAACAGACAAGGCAGAGCTGACAATATTGCTTAAGGGAACAGGAATGCAAGAAACCCTGGTTAAATTAGGAAATGGATTTTTATTTTTGCAGTAGGACTTTGAAATTGTGCAAGATAGTGCCATTGAACAGAGAGGGAGGGGGGACATAATGAGTTTGGCATTGGTAAGAGCAGGTTTTTTTTGTTTTAAATTGGTTCTGTAGCTCTCAGGACTCCCCCAGTTGTCTGGGTCAGGCTCACAGAGGCTGGGTTTGACACTCTGGGGTTTTTCCTGCAGGAGGTTGGATGACAACATCCGAACTGTGGTGAGGGGACAGACCAACGTGGGACAGGATGGCAGGCAGGTATGTGCAGCCAGGAGTGAGTGCCAGGGCTTCTCAGCTTGGCATGTCACCCTGAGCAATGGCAGAACTCCACTGCTGCTCTTGCTGAGATGTTTCTGTGCCTCTTGCACTGATGAGCTGCTCACTCAGCAGCTGCTCTGACCTGCCTCACCCTCTGAAGGGAAGGGAATGAGGAATTGATTTAAAGATCAAAAGCAGGAGGCCTGTGTGCCACTCTGGAGCTGGTGATAAAACAAGCAGCACTGAACAGGTACCATACATTTGATCCTGGGTGGGGATCAACACAAGGCTGTTTGTCCTAAGAATAATAATAATACAATAATCTTCTAATAATCTAATACAAGGCTTTGTCCTTTTCACTGAGTTGTTTGCTGAGATGTCCCAAGTTGCTGGTCACTGTGCTGATCACTGGCTGCCCCTTCCTCTTGCAGCTCCTGCTCAGCCCTCAGGTTTTCACTTGTTTTTTCACGTGACAGAGGTGTTTGCTGGGGTTCAGTACTGGTGAGCACAGCCTTGTCTGCAGGGGCTGTGGGTGCTCAGCTTGGCCCCTGTGCCAGCTGATTTTGAGGTGTCACCTGGCTTGGCTCTATTTCCTGTCCTGTTTTAGACCAGGGACATTGAACCCTGAACCATCAGTCAGAGTTCCTCAGTGGCTTCTTAATACCAGCTCTAACACTGGCATGGGGTAATGACCCTCTCTATTTTCCACTCCTTGCTGTCACAGCAATTGGTATCTATTTCTAATCTGTTTCTGCCACAGAGCCCTTAAGGGAATTATTTACCTTGTCTATGATTTTGTATTGCTTTAGAAAAACACGAGAGATGCTCACCTGTCCTGGCAGAAGTGGTTGAATCATGGATGTCTAAGCACTGCTGTTAAACTGGGGATGTGCTTGGCTTAGCTGGGAGTGGTGCTGCTGTAATTACTGTGCAGGAGGGAGACCAGCAATCAGGTGGGGTGGCAATTACAGAAATTGAGGAGGGAGTGGAAACTGGTGCAGTGCTCGGGGAGTTTGGCTGTGATTGGAAAGCTGGACCTGTTGTAGCCTTTTGGGCCCATCTGAGAGGATAAATTCTCTGAAAGACCACAAAAGAGTGGGGTTGAGAAGAGCTGTGGGTGAGAACTGCCTGGAGTGCCTCGGGGCTTGGAGAAAAGGATGAACAGTGATCAGTGCCTGTGGGATAACAGGAGCATTTCTGTGCTGTGGAGATTGGCCAGCTTTGCTCAGAGCTCTGTCCTGGGTCTGTTCTTTCTCACTTCTCCATCCCTTTGAAGTTCTCCAAGGCATGGACAGAGGGACCTGCACAGTGTCCTGCTCTGAAGCACCAGGAAGGCACAGCTGTCTGTGCTGCCCTTCCTTCAGTGTGCTTGTAAAGGAACCAGTTAAAATCCTGATTAACTAAAAACCTTCAGGTGTTCACTTGGGTGTCCTTGCAGGACATATTTCAAGTGGCCTGGAGCTGCAGTTAATCACAAATATTCCTGTATTTAGCTGTGGATTTTCCTCTTTTCCCTCATTTTGCTGCTTTGCAAAGTAGAAGCAAACTTTAAGACAGATGCCAGAGCTTGCAGTTGCATGGGCTGAGGCCAGACAATCTCCCAGGAGCACAGCTGTTGCTTCTTTCTTTGAGATCCTAACAAATACTGAAACCATTCAATTATTTAAAGTGATACTTCTCTGGGAAGAGAAACAGATCGATTCTGAAGTGCTGTGAGCTTTTTCTTTCTATGTTTCTCATCCAAGCCCATCGTTTCACACCTGGATATGCATTTCTTGTGTGAATTGCTGGAATCAGACTGTTGGAGTGGCAGGACTTGGCTGGGTCTTGAAGTTTAAAGCAGTGAAGGAGCGTCAGCAAGCTCAGATTTTGGAGGTCACCTTACAGTGCTGGGGAACTCCTGAATGGCATTTCAGTTTGAGATGGAATTTTGTATTTGTCACCCTAAAATCAGATGAAACCTAGAAGAAACATTTGCTGTTGTTGTCACCCCTGCCCTGTGTCCCCTGAGTGTCCTGGGTGCAGAGTGGGGGAGTGAGGCAGCCCTTTTCACATGACCACCCTGTTGATAGCAGATTGTGGGGGTGAAAACCTTGTTTTCCAGTTTCAGCTGCCTGTTCCTATGCTGAAAAGTGCCATTGTTTCACCAGCATATTCTCAGGGCAATCAAGGACACTTGGAAATGTTTTTATAAAGTAAGAGGCCTGACTGCTCCACTTGGAGAGGAAGGGTTTTATTTTCCAATGCATGGCAAGGAATTGTTTTGGAACAACTGAAAACAAGGTGCTGTTAAGGCAGATCAGTTCTGTGCTTGGAAGGGAGTTGCTGTTTTCCTTATGTAGTTTCTTGGTAATTTGGTCCCACAGCAAAATGAAGTTCTTGTTTCTACTGATATTCTTACTAATTTTGCAGGAAACTTGTATCCTTGAGACCAGTATTTCCCTGCAAAATTGGATTGACACATCCACGTGGATAGATGGTGTCATCCTGTGAGCCTCACCCTTAGGCAGCCCAGGATGAAGATCATTATTGCATTTTATCATCACAACCACAACTGCAAACCACCCTTGATTAGTAAGGAAACAGTTGGCAAGCAGCTTTTGCAAGAGGTTTGAAACAAAGCTTAAAGGCAACCACATCAGTAAATTCAGTCTCTTATCTTCTTCCATTTGTAACTCTTACCATAAGAGATGTCTCCTGCCCGTAGTGCACAGTACTTGCAGCATGCTGGCTTTTGGGAAAGTCAGAAACTTTTGGAAAATTCCTGTCTTTTGATTTCCATCCCTTGGCACGCTGAGATCCAAGAGGAACGCTGCCATCCATCATCTCTTTGAAAGCATGTGCCATAAATAAAAGTGCATCTGAACTCTGATTTTGTAGCTGCTTGGATTTCAATGGTAGCTCAGGATCCTGTGTATTTAACTGCAGGATTGAACCTGAAAGGTGTTTTTCAAAAACCTCTTCCCTTCAGTCCCATTCTCTCCTAACAACCCCTGCTACTGTGGCCAGTGTTTGCCAGCATTGCCTGGCTGTGTTGTGTTGGAGATATCCTTGTCTCAGGGGTAAATAATAGTTTGAATAAACATCCTTTCAGTCTCTGACTTCCTTCCAAGGGATATACAAACCCTGGATGCAGTGACAGAAGGAAAAAAAAAAAAGTTATTTGAGTCAAAGCAAGCCAGGAGGGGTTTCTTTGCTGAGTCCCTGCCCTCAGCTGCCTGTGCTGGCCCATCCCTGCTGCCCTGGCAGGTGACAGAGCTCAGCCTTGGCTTTCCCATCTCCTGTCAGCCAGAGCTGCCCAAAAAAATGCTTGGGAATCTTGTGCAGACACTTAATTCAATGCTGCTTGAATTACTGTGGTTTATCACCAGCTTACCCAATCCCTTTTTCAGACACCAGTGATCCAGGCAGGTTCCTAGCAGAAAAGCTGAGGTTCTCAGCCTTGCCAGCCTGGGTTTTTTGGAGGAGAAGGGGTTATTTACCACCTGAGGCCAGCAAGGAGCTTTCCAAAGCTGTCTTGTGGAGGAGCCTTGTTGAGAGCTGCACCTTCCCAGCTGTCCAGGAGAGGGGAGCCCAGCCTTGGTTTTGAGAGCAGGATAACATTTTCAGAGGAATTTAAATCCCATGTCTGACCCAGTGGGGAATATGGAGTGTGCAGCTCTGGAAATGTGCTCTCTGTGCTCCTTAAGGAAAAGGAGGCCTTAGGGATAGGAAGTCCAAAATCCTGATTGCACATCCAGCTGCTCCAGCTGTGGTGGAGTCTCCTGTCCTGTCTGGCTGGGATGATGGTTGGGATAACACTTCTGTGCCCTGCTGCCTGCTGAGCAGGGCTTTGAGGTGAGTTGTAGCTATGAGAAAGCATTTCAGTAAGAAATTTTCATGTGAAAATAGCTTTTTTTTTTTGTTTTTTGTCTATCAGCTTTTAAACTGTTCCCCAAACAGTCTTGCTCATGCACACGTGTGTGGATAAATTAGCAGCAAGGTGTCTGAAAAACCAGATTCTGAGTCTAAAAATAAAGGCCATCAAATAGATGTGGCCCCAAAAGAGTTATTTAAGCAGCTCTAAAGACAGGAATGCTCCCTTCCCCACAAACGTTTCCCAGTTCAAAGCATCTGCCTTTTTGAAATTTTGCCCTAGAATTTCCTCCAAATGCAAAAGCCTTAAAATAGTCTGGCTCATTTGGCTTCCCCTTCCTGGGGATATTTCAGTAAAATCTGCAGACAATGCCCCGAACCTCAGAAATTATCTCACTAATGATCCTTTTATGGGAGGAAACAACAGCTGTGGGTGGAACATTCCTCTGTAGGGTGTAACAAAATTTTCCTTGGGACTCCCAGACTTGGACTATTTTGGATGCCTTGGGAGAGGCTGGGAATGCAGGAGCTGCTGTGCTTCAGTTGTAACAGTTTCTGGGGAGCCAGTGCTACGCAGATTTTTCCTCTGGAAGGTTTTTTTTTTTTTTTTCCCTTCAGAGCTGCTGCTGCTGAACTGGAGTGTGGGCTGACCTTGCTGGGAGCTGCAGCCCAGTTGTGGCATAATTTCCTCTGTGCCCTAGGGTGCAGTATAAAAAGTTCCCATAGATTTTTCCACGGAGCGTTTAACGCTCCCCGTATGGTTTGATGTGTCACTCCTCAGTTGTGTTTATTGCTGGAGCTTCTGCATGGACTGGCTGTAATTTTTCTGACAGTTGCTGACATGCCTTTACTGGTTGTTTGGCTGAAGCTGCTTCACCTATCAGGCTTTTGTCCTTGTAATAAGGAGCCTCTGCATTTGCTGCTGGTTTAACCCTTGGCAGTGTCTCTGCAACCAGGATGAGGTGGATTCAGCTGAAATCCGTTTTGGAAAGAATCAAGAGCCCCAGAGCATTCCCAAGATCCCAAATGGATCTGTGGCTTGGTAGTTTGAATCTAAATAAAACCCAACAAACTTCTTCCTGTTATCCCTGGTCCATCTTTCCCTTCCTGCCCTGTGTAAGTGACTGAAGTTGCATCAAACAAGG